AATGTTGTAATGTAAGTAGTTTTTAATTTTTGAAATTAAAATTGTAAGAGACTTAATAAATGAAGGCAGCATAGTGCAGCCGAAGAAACAATAGTAAACAGAGCAAAGCAAAAAAAAAAACGATGTTAACTGATGGGGTAGGAAGGTTCTTAGCCGCGATCTGTTAACTCAGTCTCAGAGTAAGAAAACGACCTCCTTTTTTCGCGTGGAAAACTTTGTGACGAGTACCGACGAGACGAGACGAGAATGGTAGAGTTATGTGGGGCACTCCAACATAATCAAAAGGATACGCAATAAATATCACAATGTGACGATTCTAACTGCCCAATAGAAATGTGCAGAACAAAGCCTAGGCGCAGACCACAGACTTTTAATTTGTATAAAGTACCGGCCGATAACAAATCGGTGTAATGTGCGCATTTTCATACATGTCCCTTGTCCATACTGATTAACAGCCCGACCCATCTATCGGCCAACAAAAAGTCGGTGGTCTGCGCTTAGACTAAAAGATTAAATTGTCAATCTTCTCCAAAAGACAAACCAGGTCAATGTTCAGCAGTGTCATTCACATGATAGCACCTACTTGCATTTCATTGCGTGATTTAGAGTTGATTCTGAATTTTAATTGAATTTGAAAACTGTTTTCGTTATTGAATTGATTGGACATTCGTTCGTTTCAGCCAAATGACGTTCACTGCTGGACAAATTACTTAAGCCGAATTCTCAAAGTTAATTTAGGCACTCTCAGTTAACAAAAATATGCTTTAGTTCAAAATAAGTATGCTTCTGATAAAATATCAATTCAGAAACCAGGGGTTAACCAATTTTCTGGTTGCTGACAGCTGCCAATGTGGAAATCATTGGGGGAGGCCTATGATCACAGTGGACGTTCCTATTGCTGAAATGATGATGATAGTTGTATCGTTGTTGATTTTATCAAACCAATTTAAGATCGTAGTGTGTAAAGGGCTTGAAAACGCATCTGCGGCGCCCAGCCACCGTGAACAAGTAAGTATAAGATTTTCTTTTGCAGAAAAGCGAACGCTTGTTTCTAACTATGGCATTCTATAGAACTGGAGCATGAAACGTCTACAAAAACAAAGCAGCTTGTTTTTTTAAGATACTCCGAGATAGGTGATTTAATAAGTAGCGCCAATCACCATTTATCTTTTGAGTAGGCCTGTTGTCATGGTTCGTTTCTTGAATTGAACTTTTTGGTGAAGTTTTTCGAATGTTTTATGTGAAAAATTATGATTATAGAGGTAGGTACTTGCTATATTTTTATTGAAACTTAGCACATCTTAATTGGCAGTGCTAATATTATTCTGCCAATAACTATCCATCATGCCATTTCTTTTATCGCCAGTAGCAGATATAGTCGACTTGAAATTGAGGTAGTAAATTAACTGCATTTATACAGGGTGTTAGGTAAATGGGTATATGAGCCGCCACTAGCCCATGTTAACATGGTCATATAAATGGTATTGTGAAGACAGAAAATTGATATCTTAATTTTAATTATTTTAATTTTCATACAAATCGGATTTTATAAAATTTATTTTGTATGAAAATTAAAAAAAATTAAATGATATCAAATTTCTGACTTCACCATACCATTTATATGACCATGTTATCATGGGCTAGTGTCGGCTCATATACCCATTAACCTAACACCCTGTAGAGTGCATGCCAAGCTGTTATTTCAGAGTGAATGTCAAGCATCCTATCGCAACACAACCTCTTAACCCTAAAAACTATATTTTTATATAAAAATAGCGTGTAAATCACAAATAAACGAGTTGAATTCTTTTACGATTTATTCTACTTCTTACCTCAGTTGAATCAGGAACAATTAAACATTTCCAAACATTTTTATTTTTGTTTCCGGATATATTTATTAGTTTCGCATCGTAATATTTTGTATTCAAATAGTACCTAAAGAAATATGTTAGTTACTTTCTTTCCTGTAGCAAATAAAGTAATAAAAATTTAATTATTTTATTAATTTACAACTAGCGACCCGCCCAAATTTGCATGGGTAGCTGATGAAATCACTATATTGCTGAAAACTGCATTGAAATCCGCTTGCGTACCTTTGAAAAAAAAAACATTCGGGTCGAATTGAGAACCTCCTCCTTTTTTGAAGTCGGTTGAAAAATCTAAGCGCAAACACAGAGGGCTAGGTACTTGGTTTTATTGTTATGTCCCACAAAGTATGTAGTTTACCTAAATAAAAGGTTTTCAGGTTGAACTGATACATTTCGTGCTTCTAAAAGATTCCATTTTACTTTATTGACCGAAGTATGTAGATCAAATTCAGACGTCACCGAATCCTCTACCTTGTAGATACGCATGTAAATAGGTATCTATTATTTCGCGTTTGTCTTTTGTTTTTCAATAAATAAGCTCAGACGCATATTAAATTCATGAAAATATTATGAACTCTATAAGATTCATTTAAATGGAACGCAATTTCACCGCAGTGGAATTGATAAAGTTAACAGAACAATAAAGAGTGAAACGGAATAACCGATCACGAATTACTTTCTACTTTTTATTATAATAAAAAATGTCAATAAAGTCAATTTTCTTTCGTAAAGTAAAATGCGATGATAGGTTTATTGTTTTGATAATGATGAAATATTCCCGGAAAGTTGTTGTAGTAAGTTTTCAAAATTAAACTAATGATAAGTATTCATTAACCAGATACTAACAAAGAACTTGAAATATATGACTTTTTGGCACAACTTTAAATAATAATTCTTCCAAAATTTATATGCGATATAATTTATAAACCTAAATGTGGAAAAGGATTTCCAATTTACATAAACGTACATATAATTTGTGCAAGTGCTTAAAACTCAATACTCAATACTTTATCGCTTCACACTATGTGGAACCCGTTAGGGGCAGGGCACGGCAACCTTTGGAAAGAGGCAGAAGGATCTTAGCAGTTTAAATAGTGAATTTAACCGACGATTGAGTATGGTGGAAATGTCAAACTGTACCCAGTGGACGGACCAAAAAGTTTAGTTAGCTCTAATGAAAGGTTTTACGAGGACACCTTTAAGTACTACTTATTTCAAGTTCTTAGTTTGTAGTAATATGGCCTACTTATTCGAAGAGATGTTTTCCGTTACACTTATCGTTGATCTACAACCTGCAATTGATATTCCTTATCAACCTGGTATCAAGTCTCCCATGTACCTTATTATTACTGAACTAGACCTCTAACACGGATATGTCCGATAAAGTACCGATCAGTTGCAGCATTGATTATAATATCGATCTAGTTTAGAGATCCGCAAACCAGTTTTTTCTAGGCTCCAGAATGTAGAGCAGTTTAAAAGTAGTGGAAGTAATAGTGACAAGGAACACTGATAGGGACACTGTTTTCTACCCAGTAAGTAGTCATTAAAGGAACATTGATAGGCACAATGTTTTCTACCTAGTGATTAGGGTTGCGGTGTATAAGATTGGCAATTAACCAGTGTAACTACTTATCTGCCGGACAAAATGCAGTATTCGATGCATATGATTGGCAATTTTAACCACCTATCTACCTGACAAATTGCTTGAGTGAAGGTTGAGGTTTTTAGTTGAATAGGTATAGTTCTTGCAACACACGAAGGCGAGTGAGCTTTACTTGTGTGAGTACGTCATGCACATATACCTAGTTCCAAAATACTGGACTGTCCTGTCGATAACATTGACAGTGGGGCGCCACCGTCAATACCGAATCGCTGGTTCAGATTTTTGCCATGTTGCAAACCATATAGTTGAACGATAGTAGCGCCCCCCTGTCATTGAGTTTGGTGGGACAGTTCAGCGTGGGTCATCTATAACGATAGTGTAATGTCAGAATTTTTGAAAAACGAACAGTAGCGAGCCACCACACATGTAAAGCTCACTGGCCTTCGTGAATTGCAACAACTACTCGTATAAATACCTACTGCTGAATAAAACAAATGCACATCAAAACTTGCGATCAAGTTAGAGCTAGAGTTGGTTAGACAAATTATACTAATTTGTATTGATACATAATAATGTATGGACCTTAGATAGGTAGGCATAGAGAACTAGAACGCCAGATTATGGTTGCAGATTTGAATCCCACGGGGACAAAATTAAAATGACATAAATTGTTTTAATTTCTTTTATCCATTTCGGTATGATTCAAGTTCACAGGTTGACGACCCCACAGTACGAGTATAAGCTGTAATGTAATTGGGTGTAGGTAAAACGATATTGTTCACCAATTTTTTTAAAGATTTTAAAGGTATCTTTCTGATTTCATCTTAAACATTGTATCTTTTAGGGTTTCGTAACAGTCTGATGTCGTTAAAAATAGCTTATGCGCATATTTATGACAATTAATGAGCGTAAAAAACTAATTACGTCTTATCACGATGATCTTATTTTATTATCTACGTATTATTTAAACTTATTCATACGTTATACTTTCATTTCATTTAAATAATCGCATTGGAAATATTTTTTCTAACGAAGTAATACAATACTTGTACTGTCATTCATAAACAATAATAAGTAATAAATACCCAAAGAGATTACAATTGTTTCTAAGTAAATATATTCTATATTTTAAATGTATTACTTACTTGTAACTCTCATGCAGATTAATGACTACGAGCGGCACTGTAGCGTGCGTTGGTCCAGTGATTAGCAAATGGAAAATATCTTCAAGTTTAATGACAGAGATTTAACATATAAAGTTAAAGTACTTCCAACTTATTCATAAAATATAAAATAATTTCATATCATCGTTAACTCAAACATTTGTTTAGTATCGTCGTAAAATCCACTTTTGACGGACTTGACACATTATTCGTTTAATAAACTGTTATTTTTACGAATAAACTCAATTAAATATTTAAAAAATTATTCATTAATCATTTTTTAACAATTAAAAATAGTCACAACTGAAAATTCGTAAAAAATGTGAAATTTCCTATCCCATACAAAAGATATCAACGACTCACCATACATTTTCGCACTGACAGTCCTCATGTTTGTATGTAATATCACAAGTCAAATGCACATCACTTCACAACACCGTCATGTCCCGGCGCGCGCAACGATCGCCGCGCGACTGTTGCGCCGGCGGCGCACTTGATCAAAACCTCGCAGGGGTAGTGGTTAGAACTTATGTCATTAATTTTCGGTATTGAAACTTTCTCTGTTTATTCGGGAGTGCTATAATATTGCATAGCGGCCGAATGTAAGTTAATTCACTTTCTACCATACCCTTACGGTTGGCTGCGCTGGTTGTCTGTTTCGAAAAGAAAACGCAGGGCTGGTGGTAACCACAGGACAGTACATAATTATCGTGGGTCGAATCACAAAAAAGCGTAGGAAATGATTTTTATCAATTTTACATGAGCGACGTTTAAAGATAATTTAAAGGAAAAAATGCATTTCTGGCCCTTTTTGTACCTACCTGTCAATACTGACTTCCTGAAAAAGAATTCAGTTACGAGCCTTTGTGAAGTTATAAAATCCATGTTTTTTTAATAACATGGTGTTTGGTGTATTAATATTGCCAATTTGTTTGATGCACCTTTTCGTGACTCGACCTAGTAAAGCGGTTTATTTCAGTTTCTGAGGAAATATAATTTAATATTATGATACATTGTATAGTTATATTGATGGTAGAATGATTGTAATGTACTCGTAAGTAGTAGGTTATGTTGTATTTCAGTAGGTAAATCTCTTAATGATGTCACCATTCGAATTTTATTTATGTCTATCTCTAAATAATTACAAAGGAAATACGTTATTAATTTGGGAAAGTAAATATAATTGCTTAATTAATACTCCAAGACCTAATATTATAAGGGTAAAGTAAGTTACAAATATGTCAGCTCCTCTAATTCAATGTTATGTAAATGATCTTAAGTATTTTCAAGTAAAAAATATTATTATTTAATAACGTTCATAGAAAGTTTGTACATGCTATTTGAAACGAATATACGTAATTATTATAAATAGCCTCATTCCAGTCGTCTAGAGATGGTATTTACTAAAGTATTTAATTTATAGCTATTGTACAATGGAAAGAAAGTACCATATTTTATAAGCCAGTGATGGCCAAGAGATCGACCGCGGTCTACCGGTCGACCGCGAAGACGAATTTGGCAGCCCGCGAGAGTTAAATAAACTGAACTTATTTTAAAATGTACTCTGTATTCGCGCCAAGAAAACTGACTATCTATCTACCTATAAATATTAGGTATTCACACGCTTCGGTCGGTCGTAACGTGGTAGTATTGTTGCTGCTAAAATGTTTTATTTCACTCTTCTAAACTCTGCCTTGCAGTCGGCCGCAAGAAATATTTTCGAGCATAAGTAGACCTCACAGGTCAAAAGTTTGGCCACCCCTGTTATTGTGTTATAAGTATAAGCAATACAATTTTGAAGTGACGTATTTTGGGCCAATGTTTGTATGAGTTCACGTTACCTAATACTATTGTTATGTGTGCGTGCTCGTGACGAGTGACGAAAAGCTGTAGGGCCCTAAAATGGTTAATGGCTATCAGGGCTGTGGAAAATAGAAACAAACTTCTCAGTACATTTAATTGAACTTTTGAACAATATGGTTTGTGATAAGAGCTTATCTTTAGACGTGAAGTCATTAACTAACTTATTTCAGCTGAAAGCTAATAAACAATCGGTGTTATGAAAGTTCGCCTTAACCTGGAAGAATCTTAGTAGGTACCAGATAGTTATTTTATATTATATGCCTATGTTCAGCAGTGGACGTCCTATGGCTGAGATGATGTAAATCTTTCATTTTCATTTTATTTGTAGGTATTTTATGTTCATAAATAACAGTCAATTTGGAGTCACTACACTTCATTTAATACAAATCACATTAATTAATATAGACACTTGGAAGTGTGTAATTATTTCTTTGCATTAAGTTAAATGCTTCAAGGCATTAAATAAAAATTTTCGTATTATCGCCATATTAGGTATTGTCACGGGCAATTAGTGTCTTTCATCTCCTAGTAGGTACCAACTACAAACGTGGACACCTAACAAGAAAAAAATCCACGATTTTAGATTAAAATGAATAATTCAGTTTTACAGTTTTCTTATTAAAAAAGTTGGTCTTAGCAACAGCATTACGACTGATAAATACATACATTAAGGCTGAGTTGCACCTCCTAGCTGTAACCGTAACTATAACGATAATCGGTGTATTTTGCATGGAGTTTGACAGATTTTTGACGTTAGTTAAAGTCAAGTAAGATGGTGCAGCCCAGCCTAAGATATCGGTATCAGAATGTAACGGTTGCAACAAGATTGGAAGTTTTCGCTGAGTTTATCTCTTTCTTATAAAAATATTATTGCAGTCAAGATCACGAGAAAGTTACTTTTGTTTGTCTTTAACCTAAATAAGTTTATTCGAAACATTACTGCATGTAATATTTTGCTCAACATCAATTTAATTTACAACGATGGTACATAATGAGAAAAATAAAAGTAATGCCTAATTAATATAATATGTAGTACAATTGATTCGTTAACTACTAATTATTTAAAAAAATCTTTAACTTAGTTATAGTTAAGTATCCATCTCAATAACTAGTACACAATCATGTCATCTAAGTACCTATAGATTTTAAGCTGAAAATGAATTTGACTTAATTCAAAGAAGGAGAGACAGCCCTATTAATGCCATTGGCCCATAGTATTCGCTCGAGTAGGTATATCTGAGTAAGTACGGCCACGTATTGATGACTTAACACACGTTTCCGGAATCGAGTTCGGACACAAATTTTAAACGGGACACGGGTATTTTGAAATTGGGTCTCGGAGCACATGCGCGAGAAATAAATGTTATTCTTTGATGCAATAAGATTTCTATGCAACTGCTGTAGGCGTTAACACGGTTGCCAGTTCTAGTTTAATCACAAGTAAAGTGTTAATAGACATGCAATAATAAATAATATGCAATATACAATGCAACGTCACGTGACGGCTGCATGGGGCAGCAAGGTTCTGGAGTGGAGGCCTCGTACCGGAAAGCGTGGCGTAGGACGTCCACATACAAGTTGGACCGACAACCTCATAAAGCTAGCAGGATGGCGCTGGATGCAGGCCGCCACCATCCGGCCTTTGTGAAAATCATTGGGGGAGGCCTATGTTCAGCAGTGAACGTCCTATGGCTGAAATGATGATGATGATGATGATAATGTCTACTTGTATACCTACTGCACGTCTTGAGGCGGATGTTCTTCCATGGTTCTGAAAGCTTTTGACTCTGATTTTTTTTTCAGCGCTCGAGATTCCGTATAGAAAATTCTCGAGTTAAACCCTTACCTCTCCGTACCTATTCAAAGTACGAATTAAAAATATAAATGACATATTTTCCACCGCGACTCCGCCTTCCATTTCAACTAGTCGATTTTCCATAGCTTCTGCATCAATAAATAAATTAATATCTATTGTGTTTGCTTTCCATATGATTTGGATGCGGATCGGGTGCGCCGGCGCATGTCGATACGGGCCCATGCGATATAATTTCTCTCGTCCTTTGGAAAGTGCAAGGAAAGTCGTTCTGGCATTTTTTGGGCAGCCGATAAAATAGAAAGTTAATTAGAACTGCATAACTATTATGATGGTGTCTTACATACGGATAGTTAGTTAACATTGTCGAAGTTATGGTAACATGGTGAAATTATTCGTCATGGGATCATCTTAGATTTTTTGTGGGTTTTTATTGTTTTTGTAGGTTGCGTTTCCCTATTATATGGAATATGACAAGAAATAAAATTCTGGTTTTTTTATTAAAATTAATTAGCTTTAATTATTTTCATAAGATAGTTAAAAGGAAATTTAAAAAAGCGGTTTCATAAACTTTGCTAAAATATAATTTCGATTGAAATTATCTTTGAAATAATCAGCACTCTACCTTCTTTTCATCAGACCTTTGATTCTTAAATTTCAGAATCAAAAAGCTTAGAACTTAATAATTAAGAGTTATTCCCGGTATTCCAGAATCTTCCAATATCTCTTTCACAATTACCAGAGTCTTCTGTTTCATTTCCGCGGTCTCGTCTTCCAATTTAAGATTTCTCTTCAACAACAGCAAAGTTTTCACTATCAAGCTTTGTTTCGAGAGATGCCTTTTCTTCTCTCCTTGACTTTTCTTCAGAGTTATTTTCAGGAGTGTCAGCCAGTTTTGAGTGAAGGTAAGGAATTCCAGAGTGACTTTTTGAGTGAGTTGGAATTGTATGAGTGTGTGTGTCCATGGTTGAGATGTAAGGGTGGCGACTAATTTAGTGTCGTTTTTGGAGACGATAGCATATTTGAATATGGATGATAAGGTCTTCCAGCCAGCGAGCGTTTGGGTTTCAGAATCCTATAAATAGGAAATTAAATGGTATTGAAATAGAATATTCCAGGATCCTTAGGTGTAGAAAGGTTGTTATCAGAAATAAGGTAGGCTGCTGTGCCTTATTAGACACTGAGTGATATTGGGCAAAAGCTTCGTTTAAGATTAGAAAATTGAACTGGAAGTCTTATGATTGTTTATCAGGTACAGGTGAGGTGATTTCAGTGCATTTCATCATAAGTAAAAAGACCGTCTACTAGATCTCTAAAGTCAAGTCTCATCGAAGAACTAAAAACTAAGGAAAAGGAGAAGGTAGTAACTGACACTTACCCTGCAGCACAGCATCAGTTGGATCCTGAACATAAGAGCCCTCAGCGCGTTACATTGCTGGCCCACAGACGGTTGTACATCCAGATCTTGAGCCAAAACCAACGGTGTATTAGCCCCAGAGTTGAGAACAGTGTACACCAGTTGAAGTAAGCAAGCTCCACGCTCACTCGTGCTATCTTGCCGAAGGGATTTTATTATGCATTGTGTTTGAATTTGGAGGACTGTTTTTGGCTGGAATGAAAGAGATAAATAGGAGAGCAGAGAATGAATGAGTTAAGTAGGTAACAATAAAGTCATTATGATATATTTTATTATTATCTTTCATGCAAAGCTACAATATTGGTTCCGGTTGTAGAATATAACCATCCCTACGCTTCCCATTCTCCTTTCCAATCAGAGAGAGTTGTTCCTGTAGTGGAAACCTAATGATAAGGATGACAAATGATGACTGCTGGACAAGGGTCCCCCCTACTTGGACTCCAACGACCGGTCATGCGCTGGCCAAGTGTCCACATCCAGGTGCTACCTTCACCAGATTGTCGGGTGTCTGAGTCATTGTGTTTCCAGTCCGTAATCGCCACTCGAGAACTTTTCTGCACCAGCGATCTATGTGTCCCGCCACTGTATGATGATTTTTCTTACCTCATAATGGTTCCTGGTGAAGTAGTGCACGACGTATGACAGCAGCTGCAGCGCTGCGCACGCGACGCGCTCGTCAGTACTGTTGGCGGCCACCAGCGCGCTGGCCAGAAAGCCCGCGCGGTTTGTGTACGTAAGCAGAACTAATTTTGTAAAAAATGTGTAGAATCATAATTTAAAATTATTTTTCCACCACGAACTTTGGTCCGGTTTCCACCAAGGTGGGGCGGAGCGGGACAGAGCGGAGACAAGAAGTGGAAATAATGAAACCTGATTGGTTATTCAACACACTTCTCTGCTCTACTCCGCTCCGGTTTTTGGTGGAAACCGGGCCTAAGCCTTCTCTATAGCGTTTCTTGTCAGCTATCAACTTTTGTGACTCTCTGAGCGCTATTAGGTCTGGGTCTACGATTACGATACGTCTTTGTGGTAACTTTACATAAAAATAAGAAGCAGTTATTTTTGAATCTGTAGAATCTTACGCCATTATAGGTACAGAAAACAAGTTTTCAGTTTCAATCCTGCCTGCACTTGATCTAGATATAATTGACCTATGTCCATACCTCTATTATCATTATTAGTGTCAGCCAACCCCAGCAGATACAGACTGAGCTTCAAGCACACGTATTCGTAGTAGAACCTAGATTCTGTGCCCTCACTGGGGTGCTCCAGGGTTTTGGAGAAGACTGTCGTGATGAGCACGGCTGTCTTGAGGCAGAGGGTCGGGTCCAGCTCTGAGGGTAGCAGTGTAGTGGCTAGCTCCAGCAAATGGCAGATGTTTGGTTCTGCAATAGGTTTTTTCTTCTAAAAGTCTAGATTTAGACTAGGCGCAAACCACCGATTTTTAGTTGGCCGATAGTTGGGCCCGATTTCAATTTGTATGAAGAATCGGCTTATTCAAATCGGCGTAGTGTGCGCACTTCCATACATGCCCATACTGATCAACTGCCCGACTAAACTATCGGCTGACGAAAAATCGATGGCTGCGCCTAGGCTTAGGTATAAGTAATCTTCTCTAGACTCTTCCCATAAAAAATCATGCACTCCCAATCTTCTGGGGATGATGTATAAAAGGCGAGAGAGAAAATCAAATAGCGAATTTCAAGCTTACTCACGTCAACGTGGTCACAGTATACAGGGTGTTAGGTAAATGAGTATATGAGCCGATACTAGCCCATGTTAATATGGGCATATAAATGGTATGGTGAAGTCAGAAATTTGATAACATCATTTTAGTTTTTTTAATTTTCATACAAAATAAATTTTATAAAATCCAATTTGTATGAAAAATAAAATATTTAAAATGAAGATATCAATTTTCTGACTTTACCATACCATTTATATGACCATGTTAACATGGGCTAGTGTCAGCTCATATACCCATTTACCAAACACCCTGTATAAAGGGGATTTGGTTGCAGATGAAATGTGCCACCTATTTCGCAAAAAATGATTTTGAAAATGGCGAAAAGGATAAAATCTTTTAATGTGAAATCAATCATATCCCAAGTGGATCTCAAAAAATGCATGTCCTACCTAATACATTTAATTTTGGCGAGACATGAAGGAAGAAAGAAAGCTTTAAGATACCTATTTCAGCCTCATAGTCTATCAGAGTCTTAGACAGTGCGTTGGGCAGCATCACCCACACCATTCCCGCAAACGCTTGCCTGTCCTCCTCACTGGCTTCTTCGAGGCAGGTGTGCAGTGCGTCTGTACAGTTCTCCACTATAGTTGCGTTCTTGTCGCGGACCAGAATGGTGAGGAGCAGCTCCCATACTGACGGGATGGTTGTAAGCTCGCTAGGGATGGCGTCTTCGGCTTGAAGCCATTGGGATAGCTAAAAGATATTGATGAAAGTTTTTTTCTTATCTAAATCACCGAAGAATTTGCTGGAAAGATTGTACCTTTACGTTCAATTAAAGATCAAGAAGTGACTGACTAGTGGGGAAAAATGGTTCTGAATGGTCCCATCAAAAGTTAAAGCCGCTTGCAAACAAGAACTCAATTTAGCTAAATTCGCAAGACATTTTTTCGTACTTTAGATTAGTTTCAGTAAAACTCTGTTACATTGGATTGCTACTTAATTCAGACTTTTCACACAGTCACCGTTTTAACAATGGTGCAATGTTGCCTAAAAGAATGTGCTGGGAATATGCCTAGGTAGTCCAAATCGAAAAGATCTACTTTAACCCTTAACCAGGTCTAAAAAAATAATTGGTTTTCAATCATATTTTCACAGCATAAGGTTCAATTTGATGTGGTCTCTGTGGATACCAGAGTCTGGTTAAGGGTTAAATCGGGGTCTTTTCTTTTTACTTACCACGTGAATCCTGACATAATTAGGGATTCTCTGCGATGTGAAAGCCCACAACAGTATGGCTGGGTTGTGTGTGTAGTACACTGAAGGGTCTGGTAGCAGCATGCCCACGAGGCGGTCTGTAGCCTTCTCAAGGTACACTCGCTCATCCAATGACGTCAGAGACCCGTTGGATACTGTGGACATCTGTTTAAAAGGGGTACTTTTTAACGGGGTCGATTCGATAAAAGAGGAACGCTAGTTCGATCTCTGCGACTGCTGGACTATTGTGGTAGACCCACTGCGAACACAGGCATCATCATGATTATTTTCAACCACAGAACGTGCACTACTGAACATAGGCCTCGCCCAACATTTCCAAATTGACCGGTTAGTAGCAGCCTGCCTGCATCCAACGCCTTCCTGCAACCTTTTTAGGGCCCACAACAGTCCACAGACATCTGTTCGCAAAAGGGACTTTAGTGGGGTCGATTTGATACACAAGAGGAACGCTAGTTCGATCTCCGCGACTGCTGGACTATTGTGGTGAACCACTCAACCTTATCCTGATTCTTCCGTCGTTAGTAATCATCATCATCATCATCATTTCAGCCACAGGACGTCCACTGCTGAACATAGGCCTCCCCCAATGCTTTCCATGTTAGTAATAATAAACATTTTTTAAAAGTTACTTAAAAGTGAGTCCGTTACCCAAGATGTAGCTCAGACGTCAGATTACATCATTAACGTTTAACGGATCAACGATCTTGATCAGCTTTAATAGTGTTATTAAGCATCGTATCAGTAAAGTGTTAGTAATTTTTTGTAACATTCTGTTTTTAGTTACACGAATAAGATATTAATTTTCTTCTAATTCTAGGAACGACATGAATTTCCAAACACCACGCCGTTAGCCATGGCCATGTAGTGTCAAGCGCTTCCCGCAAAAACTTGAAGCATTAAGTAGTTTAGATTAGAAGTAAGTTTCTCTAAGCGGTGAAGTGAAATCAATTAGTTGTACAGTCATTGTGATTGGAAGCAACATATATTTGAAATCTGTTCAAAGCTGAATAGGTTTGTTTTCGCTCTTAGACGTATTAGTCAAATTGTATCTCAAGAGGCTGCTATCACTGCTTACAATGGCTATGTAAATTCATCTTTGCGCTATGGAGCTTTAATCTGGGGAAACTCTGTACATAGGGATAAGGCATTTATTATGCAAAAGAAATGTATTCGAGCTATTTTTGGACTACAACAAATAGACTCCTGTCGTCCCTTTTTTAGAAAATATAATCTGTTAACTTTACCTTGCCTTTACATTTTTGACTGTTGTTTATTTGTCCAACAAAATCAAGACTTGTTTATTCAGAAATTTCAAATTTCAAATCGAAACCTACGCTCTGTATACAGAAATAAACTAGTAAGGCCTCAGACAAAATTAACACTAGCATCAAGGAATGCTTTTATTATGTGTATAAAAATATATAATAAACTACCAGACGATTTTAAAGAACTAAAATTCTCAAAATTTAGAAATGTTATTAAAGAATGGTTAACTAAAAAATGTTTTTATAGTGTACAAGAATACCTAGATTATAAATAAATATGTTTAGATATAAAAATTAAAAATGTGTATACGCCTGAAAGGGTAGGATCAAGTGATACTCTGTAATTAATTTAAGATCTTTCTGTAACCTTGTTTCTATACACAATAAAGAACTTACTTACTTACTTACTTACTTAAGAAAAAAATCTAAATTAGGTTTTCTTTACTTTTTCAGGCAAATAAGTTATTAGGTTACACAGTATAAATATAATATTGGAGGTATTTGTGTAGTATTACAGATACGCCTTAATTCCTTACAATTAATTCAATTTCAATTTAACTAAGTCACAAGTAAAACGCCGCCGGTGTATGTCAAATAGAAATTCAGAAAATATTTTTTTGCCTTATAACTTTAAGTATGAAATGAAATTGTGTTATGTTACCAGACTTTATAAATAAATTGAAAAAATATTTTTCAGGTCGACAGACATCAAGTAACCGCGAATACAAGCTATAAAGCTTTGAAGATGTAGAGCGGTGGCTTGAACCGAGCGAGGAGTCCTACTAACATGTGTTCTACTAGAAGCAGTAGCACCTACCTAAGGCCGCGGGCGCTTCTTTATAGCTTTATACTAAGGTGTGCTTACCGCAAAAACCAGCCACAAGGCTTTGACGATGTAGGGCGGTGGCTTGAAGCGAGCGGGGAGACGGAGCACGTGCTCTACCAAGTGTGGAAGTAAAGCCGCGGTCGCTTCTTCAGGGCTGTAAAGGTTTATTGTTAGAATTTCGTAATTTTTTTTTACTCCAAGGGATTTTTTTATCTTCAAACCGTTAGATTTAAAGCTACAGGACATCAAGTCACTAATGGAGCATTCCACGCGAAGCGGGCAGGTAAAAAAAGTCGATGTTTCCGATTTCAGTAATATTTGAGTATGTTCTACCTATACATATTATTGATACGTGTACCAAATATTTTTGTAATATAATGACTAGTTTAAGAGTTATGGGTCTTCGAAGTTTTCGACAACCGGTTGGCATGCAGTACTTCAAAGCCGATTATGGAGTCATAAAATTATATATTAAAATAATTAAACCACGGGATTTATTACTTCATTTACCGTGCTTTTTAACTGTATTTTTGGAAACGAAAAAAAAAATATGTTTTCCTAAAAAAATGCAAATAAATTTTTTTTCCTTGATTTTCACAAAGTTCGACCCTTTCGATTTTTTTAATTTTTTTTATTTAAATAGCTAATATTGTGTAGAACATTCATGCCAACTTTCAAAGTGGGCGTGGAAGTGGATTCGGAGCTAGACTGAAAATACTGCCGAAGGGTGGCGTCCAGCGCCGCGCCGTCGCGCTGCCGCGCCTGAAGCCCGCCGCCTGTGCGCGTTTAGTGAAACTGACAAGCAAATAAAATCACTTTTGACGGAATGTTTTGTATATTTTTAATAACACCAAGACATATTTAATACCTATTAAAACTAAAATACGTTATAAAATAAAGTAGTAGTAGTAAATAAAGTTGCGTTTTTCCGTATCGTGAAAAATAAATTACATTACTCGTAACTGTGAATATTTCCTAACAAAAATAGAATGAGCTGTTATTTTTATACCTTTCGAGTTACAAAAGGCGATTATGTGGGAGGCAGACGGTCGTCAGTGCTTTCATCCTATTCCTATGAAATTAAGTGCCTCATAATAATTGGCTCGGAAACTTTTTTTACCTGTCCGCTTCGCGTGGAATGCCCCTAATGTTTCACCATTAAATTTCCTGCAATTGGGTAAAAATATGTGACCAACATAGCTCGCAGAATTGCTAAAATCAAGTGGCAACGAGCGGGGCTCATAGCTCGTAGAGACGATGGCCGTTGGGGCAGAAAAGTTCTCAAGAGGCGACCACGGGCCGGAAGACGTATCGTAGGCAGGCCTCAATAGGTAGACCGACTATCTGGTGAAGGTCGCGGGAAGAGCCAGCGCAGGTCTGGTCTTTAAGGAACTCCTTAAAGACAGGCCTTTGTCCAGCAGTGGACGTCATTTGGCTGAAATGAACGAACGAACGGGTAAAAATAAAGGCAATACTTCTCTAAGGACTGGCAGTAGAAGTATATGTAGATCAGTAGGCTGTAGGGCTGTCCCTTCTGGAGCTGAACACCAATACTCTGTGGCTTCTCGATCCCACACTGGAGCTCTACTAATCCCATCTGAAAATTCGTTTAGGACTCGTAGTGATTACGTTTCGAATGTTTTTTTATTCGCTCTCTTGGTCTCAAATATAGACATACGATTAATACACTCTACGGTCTGTATAATAAACTACTATCCTCCGGGACTATTCAACCTTTATTGAAAAGGTTTTACTGGGGGCAAACTTTACATCCAGAATGATTGGAAACAGAGGTGGGGTCTGTATAATACGTGACTTTTTAGGTAATTTTTTTAATTATTACTACTTACTTACTACATAGAAAGTCACAGTATTTTACAAAATTCGATGTTTGGGACCTATTTTAATTAAAAAGTAACAAAAAAAAGAAAGTTAAATTCTTACTGCAAACACACAATAACTAGTACATACTACAAAGTTTCTTAGCACCAATTTGATCAAAAACACTTCATTTTCTCTTGTTTATTACAAACTTACTTGTATATCCCTGGAGTAAGGGTTATCATCTCCCAAATCCGAGTCGTCAAAGTTAAGGTACTTGTTAGATAATACCTTCAGCATTTCCCCAAGTATCAACGTGCTGACCTTCCGCGTGGCCATGTCGTTCCTACGTGAAATACACTTTCTTATTTCGCGGAAATTAACGTGAGTGACTTAGCATTTCCAGTTATGGGGTTCAGACGTGACCCTGAAGGTATGGGCCGTAGAAAATGATTGCAGCTATCCATAAAAGGACTTTCCCATGTCAAATTTTATGGTCTGTCCACAACAGCAAGGTTTTTAGTCCGTGCTAGCTAATACCTAAGTTTCGTAGTCTTATCAGCACTTGGCACGAAAAACTTTCGACTTCGAATAGTTTGCGTATTCGAATTGCCATCAAAAGATTTCGACAATCGAGATCGTCTCGTTATCGTTGAATTCGAAGGCCGTATCGAATTTTGTCAAATACTCAAACGATTCGAAGACGAAAGTTTTTCGAGCTAAAGGATAATTGAACTCGCTTAAACGGATTATTTAACTGAACACGATGAGAATAAGAATATTCTCCTCATCTTGTTGTAACAGTTAGTTAATTAAGTTATTAACGAAATTCGTTAAAATTGCTGCACAAATTAAGAGCTAGGAGTAGCTATTTATTGGGGATCAGTGATAACGTCGCTAAAGTTGCTAAAAACAATAGCAATAAATACTTACCTTGCGATTTGAGTGTGAGGCAACATGGTCAAATAGTTCTTCGAAAATAGCATGTCGCAGAAATCGTATAAAACTTCTCGCTTCGCATTTTCGTGAAAAAAGTTTAGTAAAAACTTCAAGAACACGCTGTATTCTTCTGTAGTTATTTGGTTTAGATTGTCCTAAAAATATTGGGCCATATTGAAATAAGGATAATGTATACAAATTCATCATAATATATTTATGTTACTAAGTACTAGCAGCCGCCCGCGACTTTATACGCGTGGATCGCGTTTTATCCCCTTAGGGGTTGAATTTTGCAAAATCCCGTCTTAGTGAGCACCTACGTTCTAAAACGAATCCCCTTGCAAGACACTCCTAGCACATGTAGTTTCTGAGATTCGTGATGAGTGAGTCAGTCAGTGACCTTTCGCTTTTATCTAAACAAATAAGTGTGAAAAATCCCTAATTAAATTTCAATGAAAAGTAAAAAGATACCTTGGTAAAAATAACTAGCTCGGTCATAATATGCTGGATACATTTATTCATCTCATGGGCGCTCTCTTTCAGCAAGTTTATCTCGTGTTCATCTGTTAGAATGCTCTGAACGAAGTCCACGTTTTGCTTCTCTCGGTAGAGGCACTTTGTTAGTCTATGAACGCAAAAGACACAATTAACAGTTACACTTATTTCGTTCGTTCGTTCGTTTCAGCCGAAAGACGTCCACTGCTGGACAAAGGCCTCCCCCAAGGATTTCCACAAAGACCGGTCCTGCGCCGCTTGCATCCAGGTACTTCCCGCGACCTTCACCAGATCGTCGGTCCACCTAGTGGGAGGCCTGCCCACGCTACGTCTTCCAGCTCGTGGTCGCCACTCAAGAACTTTTCTGCCCCAACACTTATTTACTAAGGTATATTCTCCCATCAAAATCCTATAGGTAACAGTGATTCTTAACCTGTGTGGAGCATTAAGTATGGGGGTACTCAGCCTTATGGACCATTTACAGTCACAAATGCCATCAAAAGCCTCATAATCGCTATGCACGCCATGTTCTTTTTTATTTGTGCTTGATTTTCGAAGGGGTCCGTGGACAAAAAAGGTTTAGAAACGCCGTCCTAAGGGGTCATCCATAAAGTACGTCACACGTAAAGGGGGGGAGGGGGTCGACAAAGTGTGACATGGTGTGACAAGGGGTGGGAGGGGTTTCGTGACATCGCTCAAAAAATCATGAAATTCGTGTGACGTACTTTATGGATAGCCCCTAATGCCCTATAAGTAGGTAAGTAGGTACCTATATTTTATTGGAGTTGTTTATTTATTATTTGTATTATTTTAGTTACTCACCCCAAAGCGTCCATACCCAGTTGGCACACAACGACATACGCCATCCCTGACACTCCTCCGTCCCCAACTAGCATTGCATGATTTAGCGCTCCCAAAAGCAGGACAAACCAGTTCTTCAAGACCTCAGTAAGCAATGTGGCAGTACTGCCCCGCAGCGCCAGGTTATCTGGCTGGTAGGAGACTAAAGCGTGCAGCACTAAAGCGCTGGATATCACGCTCTTTGGGTTGGTGTTGATGCTTGGAGCTAAGGAGTTCAAGCAAGCTAACAGCTGCTCAGCGCTGTAAGCACTTTGGTTGGATAGAGGTGGAGTGGTCTCGTTGGCGCTGACTCTGTAATGATAATGAAAGTCCGTCTTCGTTTGTTCATGAGCTTATTAAAAAATAATGGATTTAAGGTTACTTATTACGTTGCAGTGCAAAGAAAAACGCAGGTCGCATCATAGCTTCCGCACTCTTCCACACTGACCTGAAGGAACTACTCACCCATGATCGTACCCAGCTTCAGAACCAAGAGGGTATAGTCTGGTCCGGTGGGGCTAGTCTGGCCTGGAGAGTAGTCTAGTTCAGAGGGAGTCTGGCCTAAGGAGTTAGTCTGGCCCAGTGGGGGTAGTCTGGCCCAGTGGGGGCAGTCTAGCCCAGGGGGAGTCTAGCCTAAGGAGGTAGTCTGGTCTAGGGGGTAACCTGCTGGCCAGGGCGGAGCAGTCTGGCCCAGGGGGGAGCAATCTCGCCTAGAGAGGGTAATCTGGCCCGGAGCAATAGTCTAACGCAGTGGGAAGTCTGGCCCTGGGCTAACAGCCTTGCCCAGGGCAGCAAATGTGATTTTTGGAGTGCCCTTTGCCCTATGCCTATGTACTCACCCATCGAGCAGGTCGCACAAGAAGTGCAAGCACACGTCGACCGCAGCCCGCAGCCCGCTGCCCGCATAGTGCGGTAGCGCACGCATAACCGCTGCCATGGCGTGCGCCGCGTGCCCCTCGCTGAAGAACTGCCGCGAGCACCATAGCAGTCGCACGCATTCTAGGACTGATCTAAAACATTATCTTATCTCTGAAAGGTTTCATGGGTTAAAGTATTGAAACTTAATACAGCTTCACTTTGAAAGGCATGATGAGTAAGGTCCAGAACAGACGGTAAAACGCAACTGCAACGAAACTGCAACTGCTAGTTACTTTTGAGTTGCATCTAAGTTTCTGCCATAGCGACCGTTGAGAGACCACACATGACGCGACCAGTTTGAAACTTTCAGTTTCAGTTTCATTCATCAGAATCATCAGAAAGTTGCAGTTTCGTTGCAGTTGCGTTTCACCGTCTGTTCTGGGCCTAAGATTTAATAAGTAAGAGACATAATGAAATTGGTCCGCGCTGACTTTATTATACCTAAGATAGGGCACACCCGCTAATACAATGGTTTATTTATATGTATGGAAAACCAACAAGATCATAGGTAACACAATAAACGAGATGGGTGATTATGATTGCTGGTAACTGTTTGTCACGGAAATCACAAACAATTTATTGCTTGCGACAATATACAAAGTTAAGCTTATTCTTACCTGAATAATAAAAAGTCCAAATTGGATGTGGCTTCGCATAGAAAAACAGTTATATCATTGTCGAGGAGGTACTCCACCATACGAGATCGTTCAATAGAATTTTTATTATAACGGCTTATTACTTCTACCAAATAACCGCAAGCTTTATTTTGAGCTTCAGTATGGCGAGAAGTTAACAATCGCTTTATATCTGATAAAGCATTGTGTTTTCCACTCGGATTATACGTGCGATTAAAATTAGAATTTACTAACGTATACATTTTCCGCAAACTTTTGTAAACTATTCAAAAATTCCCGCCATACTCCGACTACTTTTTTTTTAATTTGAACGGACGGAGACGTGGACGATTATAATAAGTAACATGGTAATTTTATATTTATCCTAAACTATTTTTATTGTACTATGTTTTTAATGTTGTGAATTTTTTAATGTAATTCATATTAAAAAAATTTAAACGAGTTTATTAATCTTGTCTGCGTGATCTGTACCGTGGTGTACTGGGTGTTGCCAGTTGAGAAGTGATCGTTCCCATTTTTTTACAAAAATTTTGTTTAGCCTTTTCATTCTTTTGTTCCCATTATCATGCCCTCGACAAACAATTTTCTTCATTATAAATTAACTAATTTTTGAAGACTCCTCATGTGTTTAGTCGGACTATTACCCTCTTACTAATAGTTAATACCTAAAAGTTACACAGTTGCTGATCACTGTTTTAAAATGACATTTCCATACTAAACGTCACTTTAAAACATTGTTCAATGAGCGTGTAAGTTTTATTAGTAAGAGGGTTAGGGTCCAAAAGTCTTCTTTTGTTAAATATCTATGTTTTTATTAAAATACTACAGGTAGGATTGGTATGAAAATAACAATAAATGTTCAATTGTTCATACTTATTGTTTTAATACCTACCTACTCCAAATCAAACAAAATTATCTTTTTTGGGGGCAAAATATTTTAAGACTAGTAATCCTGCGCACCGCCGTCAATTCATCTGTCAAAACTGTCATGCTCATCTGGTTATTGCTGTTGTAGTCGAACGTTGGGAATATTTTTTTATTATTTTGCCTTTATTCTTTACTCAGGCAAATTGTAATACGTGTTTATCGTCAGATAATATCATTAAATCTGGTAATCAAAATGGTAAGTTGCTAAATAATTAGGTTTTACTTGTGCATTTCACTGTGTGGTTGACCATGCTGGGACCTTGAATGGAGGCAGCCTTTCTACATGGTTGTTTTTCTTCGACAGTCGGTGATGGACTTCTTGAAAGATCTGCCGTCGTATGACGAACATAACTTTACGTTATTTAACACTGATCACGGCATTAGAAACTGTTCGAAAAGGCCGTCAATATACCTGCAAACTAAGGACATACCTTCTGAACAAAGTTGAGTATACGTTTTTTTGTTTCCATTAATCTTATTTGAAAACTATTGCATACTTCCATGTTGTAATCATTAAATTCAGGGTCAGTTCAAAATGACTTATAGTAAACATTGAATTTAATTTCTTATCTAATAGGTCTAATTAGATAAATATTATTTTCTAATTGTAACCTTAACTTGTCTGTATCATTGCTGCTAATCAAAACTTTGTTTCTTGCAGTTATTGTGACTGAAAAGACGAACATTCTTCTAAGATATTTACATCAGCAATGGGAGAAAAAGGTACATAAAATGTTTTATACACCAATTTTAATGTAAGAAAAAAATATCAGTATTATCTAAATACAGTTTGATCATTGAGATAAAGACAAAATATTTATCATATATTTTATATTTTTCAGAATAACAATTCTCCAAAGAAGCGTGACCAGACCCACATTGAACAAAACGGAGAAGAGACTCGACCACGCAAGAGGCCCTGTCTCAACTCTCCGCTCAACTGAACCATCCTCGTGCAACGCAGCATACATTGTGCTTCAGTTATAGACTCTACAGTGTACATTTTATATCAACTATAGATCAATCTGTACATTGATTTTATAACCATGGTATCAGAGTTAATGAAATTTATAGTGCCATTTTTGAGTGTCTCGCCATTCGGTTGAATTGGTATCGTAACAGCTAAACTTAAGACATTCTAAATGTAAATTGGCAATGTTTTAAGCTCTCGTTCTCATTCCATAGCAGCAAGCTTTGTATTGCTTTCTAATGGCTTATTTTTACAATATGTTGTTACTGTTTACTTACTGCCCACTCGAGCCAGAAAGTGGTATCTCATATTTATAAAATCACTCCTTGGCTTATTAAGGCAGTTTAAGCACCTGACGGTATAGTTTTTGATTATAGTGAAGCTCTATTTTCAAATCTTTAAGATGTGTTCAATAATTTAAGCGTTTATCACATATTTCTGCTCTAAAATTTCTTTTCCATTAACTTGATGAATACTGATTTCTTCGTTTTAAGTTCGTCCAATAAATTATTCAATTTGAAATTTTTGAGATGGATTTATGTTATAACCTGAAGTTGGCTTTTTTGAATTAGTAACTTCAAATTAATGTTAAACTTAATACAATAGTTTATTAAAGTAAATGTGTTACTTACATAACCTTTTCTTTGATGTATTATTTTAAAATAGTATTTAATACTTTTTTTAATACATAATGGCAATATGAATTACTCAAGAATAAATCAAGTCAGTTGTGAGTAATTATACTGTAGTTTCATTTTTATAAGGTTGAATTGCATATTTAATTAGCTAAAATTAGTGATCGTGTTAATAATATAAGTGCATCTGTTGCAGAAATGCATTTTTGTTTGGCACATATTTTGCAGTTTGAGATGAATTTTGTTGTTATTGGGAACTGAAAAACAATGTTTTTAGTTGTTAACCCCTGACCTCATATGCTTGTTTTTTTGTTTCTTACTGAACACTGTGAATACTATTAGTTTCTACTAATCTCATCAACTGATTAATGAAAATTGAATGAACAGAAGTGATGTATGTAATAAATAAATAGAAAGAAATAATTCATATCAGTAACTTTACATAAACCTATAGACAGCATTATTAATAATGAACTGGAGAAGTTAATGATTGTCTGAAAGGGATTGTTGATTTTAGTGAAAAAATAAAACACCACATTGACTGAAAAATAACTTTATTCTAGTTATACTTATCTCACAATTTGCAGTAACTGTTCATAAGCTGCAAACAAATGTTAGGTTTAGATGTACCTAATGGAATTATTCTTATTTTTTTTAGTGATATCTTACCTAAATAACACCGAATAGTCACTAGACCAAGTTCTCTAAAAAGCTTCTGACATCATTTTCTCAAACTATTTAACTGTCTGTTAATACAAATCAATAGTTATAAGTCTAAAAACTATGAGAAATGTAGAGAACTGTCCAAGTTATACAACAATGTATTCTTTAAAATAAAAATTAAGATTTATCCAGCTCTGAAGTCGTAATTAATTATGTAAAAAATATCCTTAAAACATCCAAAGTTTTAACATTTATTTTAATCCTTGGCGGGCACTTCGATAACTCGGGGCTTGTCGATGATACGGGCAGTACGGTTGCCCTTCTCAACAATACCAATGATCCAGGCTTGGTAGCCCTCCTGCTTTTCAATATCTTTGCAGTAGGCAGCCGCCTGCTCTCTTGGAAGACAGATGAGGAGCCCGCCAGAAGTCTCTGGGGCATGTCCTTGAAGCAACTGGAACATGTTTCCACATGCCTTGGCCACAGCAGCCATCTTGGCTATAACAGGCAAGTTATGAATAACAAATGAAACCTCATTCTTTTGGTGTGATGCTAAGTTTTGTGCATGGCCAAGTAAACCAAATCCAGTGACGTCAGTAGAACCATGAGCATTGTACTTGTGCATCAACCTGGCAGCAATGCGATTGAGTCTGCTCATAGAATCCATTGCACGATGATATGCTTTTCGTACATCCTCTTCGGACACAACCAACTTGATCCGATTCCAACGCTCAGGCTGGTCTAGCCATTGATGAGCATTTACAGCTACTTGCGTACCCAGGGGCTTTGTCAGTACCAAGACATCGCCCATCACAGCATTATCAGGAACAATATACTCATTAGGTTGGCAAATTGTAGTTGCAACCCCTCCAATGGTGCACCACGGGTTGATGACAGTCTGGCCTCCTGTAACTGAAGTTCCAGCTTCTAGCGCAGAATCCTTAAATCCACGCATTATCAGGGGGATGACGACGTCGCGTTCCTTCTCAGTCATCTTTGTAGACACTCCAAGCAGCATCAACATGTTGTCACATTCAGTTACACCCATCGCGTAAAGGTCGCTCAATACGTTAGCACATGCGATCTTACCCATCATGTAGGGGTCATCGACTAATGGGTAGAAGAAATCGGTTGTTTGGACCAAACAGAGGCCACCGTGCCTTAGCGGCGTCACCGAGCAATCCAAGCCGATGCCGATGCGCGGTATCGCAACATGCATAAATTGGTCTTGGTCCTGTTGAGAGTAGTCCTGTTGCAGCGACTCCACCAGTTTACCCAAAACATCTTGAGGTACCTTGCAGCTTCTTCCTTTTAGATCAGCAAATCGTGTCAAACGAAAACTAGCTTCCAAGTCGTGAGCCACCGGGTCGAATGGCCGACGCAGAGCCAAAGCGTTAGGGTTACCGGCCATCTCTAGTTGTGCCGCAGCTAATGAATCTTGTGCTACACTAGACTGATACGACATATTACACAAAAACAAAACAATATTATGGTTGGCGTGGAGGTATAACTGACTAAAATATTAAAAGTGCACACGCCGCCAAGTGACGCTTGCAAAATGGCGTCATTTACAAAGAGAAAATGGAAGCGCAAATTGCATTATTATCTAAAATTCTGATTGGTCGTTAGTAAATGTAAATAACAAAGCTCGCGCTCTGATTGGCTAAAATGACAACCACTTCTACAGTGACAGGAGAAAACATACTGCTGCTGTTTGTAAGTACGTTCCTTTTCACGATGGTAATTTAAATTTATTTAAAAAATAATATGTAGCAAATTATTATAATCATTGAAAATGAGAAAAATAATGTAAATAAACATTAATGTTGTGATAAGTTGTATCAAACAATCAAGATTTTTTGATTGAAAGTTATTTTTTTGATATTAGTGTATGTGTACAAGTCGCCATGGCCTTCACTTAAAAAAAAACAAATAAAGACCAGCGAGCGGCTCAGCGTCGTATTTTGCTGCGTTGTTATTGGCTGTATAGCAAAACATTTTTGGAAAACCAATCAAATTGTTAGGTCATCGCTCCTCCATTGGACAGATTTTATTACAAACTTTTTTGATTGGTCACAATCTATCAAACTTTGGAATGTAGAATTTTGAAAAGTGGCAGATTTTTTTGAATAATTTACGGCAGTTGAATTAATTTTATGTGCTTTCGAAGTTCATGTTTACTGAATAAAACTAATAATTGTTAAATTAAATAATGATGATCTCGTAAAATAATTAAAATGGCTTTAAACAATTGGAAGAAGGTGGAAAACGAAGTTGGTTATCCGTGTTATGTAGAGTGAGTAATAAACTAACACACTTTCACTGATGTTTTGTAAGCATTTCAAGTTTTGTAAGGATATGTAACGCAAGAAAATATTTTTCATTTATTATAGTGAAGCGACAGGCAAGCAGCAGTATGACCATCCAGAGTTTCAGAAGATTATTCAATCACTGAAAGAGTATGATGACATAAAATACAGTGTTTACAAAATTGCTTTCAAGATTACTGCTCTACAAAGACACTTGCGCGGTAAGTTGAATAAATTATTATACTTAAAAATATATGCCTTACGCCTGTGTTAAAATTCTAGCCAATAATGTGGTGTTTACAAAGTTATGTAAGTTACTTCTTCTTGTTTTCAGTTCCTCCTTTGCGCATAAGTTCAGGCGTGTTCGCACGTCACCAGCTCAGCCTTTCTGAGAGCAGTTTGTCCCTAGACACTGCGGAATTAGAAGCTGTGCTAGCAGACATATACTTTGCAGCGGAGAAGGAAGGCCTCTTTAGCGGGGATGTTGACTTGACTGTGGATTTATTGATCAATTTACTATTGAATGTTTATGACAAGTAAGTATACTACTGACTGAATACTGTTATTGTAAGATTAAGAACTATAGGTACCTAATGGCACTGACGATTATAATAATAATATCCTCAAAATTTTAAGCAGTGTGTAATTTTGGCTAATAAAGTAGCAAAGATATTGTATTGAACTGCACTGTGTTCTTTCTATTTTTGGTTCCAAAATCTTTTTAATGTTCAAAATTGAAACATTAATGAATAAAATAAAGAAAAGTCTTTTTCTCCATCAAAAATTAAAATCTATCTACACCTACAAACTTTAAATTTGGCAAGATGTTCCTTACAGGGTGTAGACATCAGCTAAGAACGGATTTTATGAAACTCCACCTCTAAAACTTGGTCCACTCATACGAAGTTAGTTACGCCCAAGCGGCCGCTGGATTGAATATTTGTCAAAATATGTTTAATTTTTACAGAGACAGAAAAGAGCCTGTCAGAGTTCTAGCCGCTAAAACGCTGCTCATTGTACTGAGTGAGGAGCCAGTGACCGACAAATGGGGAGCGCTGGCCAACTGTTCTGCAGACCACAATGGGTGCGTGTCGCCGCGACGGTTGTTCGCGTTGTTGACACATATCACTGCGCTGCCAGCGTACCTCGGCTGTGCAGCCGAGAACCTGCAGGCTGACGTGGATGCCTGCTTTGATAAGGTATTGTTGTAACTTACGAGTATCATGATTGACTTTCAGATTTAAAATTTCAGAAATGAGAAACATATGAAAAAAGCTATTTCTTTTATCCCGAGTAAAGCAACACCAACATTTTTTTCTTTTTTGAGAAATATTTACCCTTCCTAAGGGCCCCCAAACATATCTTTATACGGGGCCCCGCCAAGGTACGCTACGCTTCTGTTTTTAAGGCATTTCAACAAATCAGACCTTATGACCATCTTTTAGCACTAACTAGTTGGCACCAATTGTATAGTAAGTAAGGTCCTGTAACTTGCTTGTGGGTAAAACAGTGACGCCAACCAGTTGAAGCGGTAGTAGAACTATCGCATTTGCAGGCACCAGGATGGCGTCACTGAAGAGTAAAGTCCTATCTCTTGTCAGTGGTGCCAGCTAAAGCCCGGTCTCTGAGCACGTAGAATTTTCTCCAATGACCCCAAGCTACCCACCCTTATCGCTCGCGCGTAAATGTTGCTGTCGCGCTCGCACACTCACTGCGGGCGCCCGTCGCGACAGCAATATAATTACGCGCGAGCGATAAGGATGGGTAGCTTGGGGTCATTGGACAAAATTCTATGTGCTTGGCGACCAGACTATAGTATAAGGCTAGGCGAATGCCTATGTTGTGCTCTGACTTTGTCGCATGCAACATCATAGAGAGAAAAAAAGAAAGAAATACAGTCAATGTCTTTCTTTTTTTCTCTCTATGATGTTGCAGAAGAGACAGATGTACTGTTACAGTCACAAGAAGTCACGTCGAAACTATAGCCCTTATTATGTTAAATATTTCAGAGCGCTGGCATGCTCGGCGTCAGTTCTCGATCAGTGGCGGAGTGGGGCGTGCAGCATTGTGCCACAGCGCGCTGGCTGCCGCTTTTACAGCGCGTAGTGGCCAGCAGAAACAGCGCTAGCATCAGCGCTACTTGCGCTGCGTGTACGCAGCCTCTTATACAGGTATAACCTTTTTTTTCTTACCCAGGAAAATGTCATAAGACGCTTCTTATGACATTTTCCTGGGTAAGCCAAGCCGCTGCTTGAGTCCACTAAAAACCTGGGGTGTTTTCCTCTGCCGCTTAGTGATTAGTGGTCGGTGTGCTTTTAAACACGTCTTCCTTCCACCACGCCTAGACACCACACTTGAGCGTACCTAGGGTCAACCCTGCCTGGGAAATGCAGCTGCCCCACTGCATTGTATGCTCTACATACCTTATGTTTCTATCATTTTAAACTGCATTTATACATGTCTCCCAGTGGCGGATTTACAAATTTGCCGCTAGTAGGCCATTAAATTTTTGCCGCCCCTACCTACTGACTTTTGAAATTCAATACGTTAGTTTAATCCCGTTATTACTATGATTGTGAACTTAATGATATTTTTCTGTAAGTTAATAGATTATTATTGTAACCCGCTATGTACTGAAGAGTTTAATGTTGACTTATAAACAGCAATATGTACTAATCCAGATGGGGAAACGAAAACTGTACGAGTACCTACATTTTTATAGAACTTTAACTATTGCAATTTAAAGAAAATTTTATGCAATTTATTTTTAAATTTACCTTTATTAAATTACATCGCCCAGGAGATTTCCTTGACGCTTACAACATTCGATCAACATACATCAAAATCTTGGAATGCGTTCGTCAGAATTACCTCGAAACCTATTTTAAATTTTTTGTCGAATGCTCAGCTTCAGTTGCTGCATGGTTGTTGGATTATAAAAGTATACTCTATTCTTAATGTAACACCACAATAAATAATTTTCTGGAGTGAGATCAGGGCTTCCTGGTGGCCAGGAGATGTCACCCCTGCCTGAAATTATTTTTTTTGTGGGAACATGTCTCTTACCATCTAAATGTTCTCAGTTGAAGTGTGACACGTAGCCCCATCTTGATGAAACCAAGCGCTCCGGTCATAAGCTTGCGAATCTTGCAGCTTTGAAATCAAAAAGCTTTTCAGCCTACCAGTATAGCGCTCTCAAAAATTAATCATCCTTTCAATGCAACAAACCAATTAAGCAGTGGTGAAATCTCACTGCCTCTAAGAAGCGCTAATCTCATTCCAGCAGACTTCTTTTTGTGGGGTTACCTTATGAGCAGAGTATACTCTAATAATCCAAAAACTCTGCAGCATTCATCCATCCTGAATCCATTTTGAGGTAACTCTAAGGCCTCAGCCTCGAGTTTAGCGGGCAGCGGCGCAGGAGCGGGCAACGAGCGGGTAGCGCACTCCTTCTTTTTCCCACAATAAATCGAGCGTTAGGAATAAATTTGAATCGAAATAAAATTGTCGCCGTTGTTCAGACACTTCGTTTGCGAATAAAAACAAATATCTCGACAACACAACCCCGAACACAACACTTCGCCGCTAAAGCGCCGCGTGAGCTGCCCGCTTGTTTCGAGAACGGGCCTACGTTGCCCGCCCCGCTCCCGCACCGCTGCCCGCTAAATTCGAGGCTGAGGCCTAAGGGCTCCTGCACACGATGCCGCCACCGCGCCGCTACACTGTTCATAAGCACCGAGTAAAACCGCCGCCGCGCCGCCACCGCGCCATCAAAGTATAATTTCGCGCGCGGCGCGGCGGCTGCGCGGCAGCGTTGTTCACGCGGCGCGTATAAACAGTGCAAAGGCGCGGCGACGGCGCGGCGGCGGCGCGGTAGCGGCGTCGTGTGCAGGAGCGCTTACGAAAGTTTTCCAAAATGTTGATGTATGTTGACCGAATGTTGTAAACGTCAAGGGAATCACATGTACGATAAAATTTATAAAAGAAAGTAAATTTTAAAATAAATTGCACTAAATTTCCTTTAAATTGCAATAGCTAAAGTTCTACAAAAATGTACAGTTATCGTTTCCTTGAATTTTCAAAAGTGAATTTTCTTCTGGGCTGCTCTGTAAAACAATATACACGAAGTTGTGGAGAGATGGTGCTCGTGCTAGGCTCCGGAGATCCTGTGTTACTAGTTTTTTATTTTATTTTTATTGAAACGCTATTGGAATATTTTAAAATTCATGATCACATAAGTACCTAAGTATATATTACAGTGCGTTTATTAATCGTTTATTTATATATGGATTGTGTAGGTAAACGTATAATTATATATTTTTTCCTGTGAAAAAAAATTAGCTAAATTTGCCGCCCCTCTAAATCTGCCGCCCTAGGCACTGGCCTACTTGGCCTATTGGTAAATCCGCCACTGATGTCTCCCTTCCACCACTTCAGGACTCCATACATTTATACCCTTAAGTGTGTGTTAATAACAGAAGTTGCTTTAATAAATCTATGAATCATTGACTGTAATCACACCAACCACTCCCATCGTCATTTAGCATTTGGGCAAAAAATACATGAAAAAATGTGTCAAATACTTTTTTTTGTTTCAGGTTATAAAGTTTAAATGCTCCAAATGTCATGAGGTTTACTTCTGCGAGAAGTGCTACTTGTATGACAAGGATCTGACGAGTGTTAGTGGGCACAAGAAGACACATTTAGTACATGAAATCCTGGATGGAGAAGTAAGTACACTTTTTAAACTCATTTGAAACAAATTTTGTAAATGATTCAGTTAGTAGGTTTTGTTGTCATAAAGTTTTGTTAAGTTTTTACGCATAAACCACTAAACCATTTATAACCAGTTTTTTTTAGAGATAGATTAGAACTTGAAAATTACTTCATCCATATTCATTGAGCCACAGCACATCCACTGCTGAACATAGGCCTTCCCCAATGATTTCCATATCGCGCGGTTGGTAGCGGCCTGCATCCTGGCCTGCTACTTATTTTGACTTTTATCTATATTTACCTTCTTTCAGATAAAACCCGCTCAATGCCTAGGCTTCATCAAAGGCATGAAGCGATTCTTTTTCTGCACCCGGACTAAGAAGAAACAAATTTCCAAAAAGGGCTCTAAGAAGAGTATAGATAAGGTCGAAAATCACACGTTGCGTCGTAAGAAGGAGGGCAAACCTGCGATGTTTACGTCAACCGTTGGCAAGGCGTCCGGTAACGGTGGGAATAACCCAGCTTCGTTGCTCCAAGATATCATTAATCAGCTGGAAACGCAGAACAAGTGAGTTTTCTTTGTTTAACAATCGGAAGAAATGATTTTCAGAAAGTAGTAGGGGTGAATTTCTGAACGATATGTAATCTAGGAATTTACACAACTAGCTATTGCCTGATACTTAGAAATAATATAGCTTTCTACTAGTAAAATTATTAAAGAGTCAGGCCAGTAGTTCCAGACTCCAGTTGAACCTTCCC